CCATCTTCAAAGCCATGGAACATGGGATGGGAGAGCTTACAGTGGACAGATATCAAATATCTCCATCATGGAACAGCATCCCGCGCCTGGAAGAACATACTGAAGACAGGGATCATTCCTGGATATGTTGAACCACATTCTCAGAGAGACAGAAATTACAAACCATCGCAGCGATCTGAGGCATTCTTCAGTTCTAGCACATATTTGAACAATGTTCAAAAGAACCCACATACTTCAGTGGAATCGTACAAGTTCAACAGCTACAAGAACGAAGTCGAGCTGGTGATCAACATGGAAATCGCCACAAAAGCAGGTTGCAGATTTTGGTTGGGTGCTCAGGGCGCTATCATGACTGAGGACGTGGTACCCGCTGCGGCAATTATTGCAATTCGCCGCCTCAAACCACACCACATGCATGGCCAGCAGTTGTGGCCAGACGGCGACCCATGGGACTACCCGCCATTGGCAGCCAGAGAGCCATTGAGCAAGTACGAGATTTGCGCCTGCCTCCCTGGAGAACTTATTGACGACCCACCTGGATTGGCACCTATCGACCCCGACCACGACATGGAGCCTCCAAGGACGACGCCAGCATCAGCACCCTCGGCCAGGCCGGGGGAAACCCCTGCTGGCCGTACATCCGCAGAGGACGCCTTGGACGAGCAAATAGTACGTGCTATGATCCAGGAGACCAATCACAAAGCAGATGATAAAGAATGGTTGATTGCATTATCACATTGTCGTGAAGCTCTTCGACCAATCACAGCAAAGATCATGCAAAAAGATTGGGATCGTCGTCCTGCATTTAACGATGTTCGAATGGGCGACTTCATTGTCATTAAGAATTGGGGTTCTACCAAATGCTTCCACTACGACAACCACTGGCCCAAAGGCAATCACAATACCAAGATTGCCTTGTCCAAGGGACACATATATGGTCCAATCATCCATTTCGGCATCTTCGACAAGTTCTTTGCGGTACAAGTACCTATTCTCAACTACGGTTTACGATGGGTAAATATCTGGTATAATGACAAAAGCATGCCCCTCAAGGGCGTTGTATTTGCATTACCGATTCGTATCGAAGAACACGCCATCGATCCAACATGGATGGAGACTGCCCTGAAAGGCCCGACATCATGCAGCGAGGAGATACTGCAGCACAAGGTTAGTGGCAGTTTACCATACCTCGGAATGCCTAGCATCCATAGACCACGTATTCCGCGTACACCACCAAGAAGGCCCGCTCCACGGACACCTGATCCAGACGAGCTGGTGGCCACACCTGCCGAGGACAACGCTCAGACGGGCGACATTCCTCGACAGGGTACAGCATCATCGCATGATCCACTGATCACCGTAATCGTGGACATATCAAATATCGTTCTTACTGCAGATGAGAAAGCTGCGAACGACAACATGAGGGCAGACCTCTCGGCAGACATCCAAGCAGAAGAGCAGATCGAGGCAAGCATCCTCGATAACATCATTGATCCGCCATCGAATTTCCTTGATCATCCAGACTACGACCCCGACGAGGATTCAAGATGGATTAGACAGTCTGATGATTGCCGCGTGTATTGTTGGACATCGGCGTTATTGGTGGATTCGCCTATGATCAAGATGAGGCAGATCATCGAGATACACAGTGGCGCAGACAGAATCGTAATGGACAAAATTCAGTCACATTTACAATTTGAAATTCGATTTGGATCGAAAGCATGGAACGCGGAGTCATATCATTTGAATTACAATCATACCCACAAGTGGGCACGTGACTTACCCAATTGTGGTGCAGATCATTTCTTCAAAAAGTTGGCACGCTACCTCGACCCAGAGACTATCGAGGAGTCGACCACTGGCATCTTTCAATGGATTTCCAAAGTATACCGGAACATCTTGAAAGATAGTATTGTGGAGCTACCAGATTTCGCCAAGGAAGTCATCCATGACAACCATCCTGCACTTCAGGCATTGCGTGACCTATACAAAAATTGTACTGCGACATACGGTGATCCAGAGTTTCCTGTGTGGGAAGAGCTGGTGGAAACACCTGCTGCGCCTCGAGAGGAAGGCGCTGAGCAGGATATTCCCCAGGACCCAGGCAGCGTTGCGTCTGCAGCTCCCGATCAGGAGACTATGGTACGTATCATAGCCGAGCAGACGGGACTCAAGCGCGAGGAGGGCGACAACGAGGCTACCTTGCAGAAGCAGGCTCGCCGTCTTCGTGAGGAGAACGTATGCCATGGCGGTACTGAGGATACCGACAACGTCAAGATAGAGTACAAAGGACTGCCAGGGGAAAGGTTGTCTCGGATCGAGATCGAGGGTTTAAGCAGATCGATCGCTTCCAGACCAAACACCGAGATCAATCGTGAGGCGATCAATCAGATCGGTCAGAGCCTCGCTCGCGGTCAGGACACCCGCTGGGGATCCCGCGATCACCTGACTTCGGCAGGGGCCCCCGAGACGATCTTGCATCCCATACCGCTCTGCAACAATTGCGGTCGAGATCTGTCCCTCGGGATCGTCACAGGTGACGGCACACTCTGTGATATATGTTGGCAATACACTGTGGCCGTAGGCGCCACAGGTAAGAGCACCGCCACACAGAGTGACCTCGCGTACCTCCAGAAGTTGACGAACTGGATCAAGACGACGTTGTCCGAGGACCAGGTCGCGAGATACATGAAGGATGGCGCACATGTCATTATGACGGGTGCGCGATCCCCCATAGGCACAGAGAAAGATCAGTTGCGGAGATTGGCCAATACGTCCAAAAAGAGGTATCAGAAGTGGGTCGAAGCCGGTAGCCCGCCTGCACATGAATGCAGATTAATGGGCGAATCCGAGGACGACCGACCTCTGTACTACCCATACGCCAATCTCATTCAACGCTTTCTCAACGACCTCAGATTCCATCATCAGATGACAGGAGCCCGCGTGAATGTCGGCAAGAAGCCCTGGAGAGTCGAGGACATGCGCGACGCGTGGGACATCCTTGACGTCAGTATTAGGACAGGACAGGCTGGTCGGAGAAAGTGGTGGCTGAACGAGGGACGCATTGACAGGCAGACGCGGCAGGCGCGCGGACTGATTACGGTTTCTCTCCCTCGAAGGGACGGAACCCGTGAACAGTTCACCCAGCGCAAGCTTGCCGCGATTGCCAACGAGCTGATAGGCTCCCTCGATCCGTCACACACTGACCAGAGGGGGGGTAGTACAGGGATGAGAACCGATCCAGATACACACTCCCAACAGTCCGATGACGCCATGGAGCCGCGGCCGCCGCCGCGCCCGCCGCCGCGCCCTGCTCCTGGCGACGCCGCTGCATCCAGCGCCTCAGGCGCGGAGGACTACATGCCCGCGATGCCGCGCGCCAAGAGAGCACGTACATCTGATTACGCTGCTTACTGGCGCCACAACCTCGAGGACAGCGATTGGGGTCTTCGATACTGGAGTTACTACATCAAATGTTGGATCTACATTGCGATCAACAACGATGAGTATGTGTACATCCAGGATATCACGTACAACGATTGGTTCCGCAACTGGATCCCGAGGACAACTTGGGAAACGTTTACGACAAGCTATGCGACGTACAACGGCCAGAGGGTGTGGGACCGCAGGTTCTACAAGGACGGCGACGCGTAGTGTGTCGGCCGCAAGGCCCACTGCTCAAGAGCAGAACTCCCGTCCATCAAAGTTCGCCTTGAGCGGTGGATAATGCATTCTTGTAGGCCACTTCAATCTTTCACACAAGTGGCCATACACACATATAGATATCTTTTGCGATCACCGAGGCAGCCTCCTAAGGGGCAACGCCAACGGGAGTCGCCAAACATATTTTTATACATCATTTTCGCGTTCATCAACACGACATTTTCTCCTGGCCAGGTACTTGCTTTAACACAGATTTGCATTTCTTTCAGGATCGTGTTCGTCAACGCGATCTCGGCATACATTTGCTTTTAGGCAGACTTGTGTTTGATTTCAAGATTGTGTTCGTCAACACGATCTTAGCATGCATATTTTAACAATTTAACAATATTGCGTCGAGAATAATCTGATAGCTGGTGGCAACACCTGCCTCGCAAATCTTGCGAGGCGGTTTACGTTGCCTTGGTGCTCAGATCTTCTTTCTCCGCCTACCTTTGTCTCATTCTTCTCCTCCCTCGAGTGCCGAAGCGTTTTGGGGGGCGCACCGAGGGGGCGGCAAAGACCGCCTGGAGAAGAAAAGGAGACCCAAGGTATCTCTTCTTACCTCAACTTGCAACTGGGCTCCGCTGACTTTTAGCCCAGCTGCCTTTCAGACTTAAGGTAAAGGAGTTCAGAGGTTACGGATTCCATCCTCCTGATCCCGAGTCCTGCCTTCACGGGCGGGATTCGGGACGGGGGGTGCGTATGGAACCCGTGTAATACCCTCATATATACTCCTTATCCTTACCTCTCCCGCACCTGGCCGTTTGGGCTCAGGTACTGAGTTGGAGCGATCGTACCTTGATCGCTTGGGAGGGAAAGATATCCATCTATCCCTCCATCTCTCTACCAACGGATCAGGGGTTCTGTACTCTTGTACTTCAACCCCATACACAGTGAGAGCCTCTCGTGGCAGTGCGATGCGCGCTGATCAGTTCTTCCCTGGTCGAGCACCGGGGACCCTTCTGCAAGCGACATGTAAAAAGGATTCCGGCGCTTCGTGTTACGCTGAGTACACGCCTCAGTGCCAGAGTTGGAGGTCACGATACGGTGCTTCTCTCGGTCCCACCCCCGCACTCCACGACCCCGCGCTCCGATGAGCCACTTCGATCCTGACGTCTCGCGAGGAGCTGCCTCGAGTGGCCGCCCCACACGAGCGCGGCGTCTTTTTTCCCCTTCGTGTGTGAAAGAGGACCCCGCGCGGGTGGCTCGACGTCGGCACCTCCACGTCAACGGCGGTGCGTGTCTCGCGCCCCGCTCCGCTTCGCCATGCGTCCGCACATGGCGCCTGGCGCCTGAAGGAGAAGCGGCACAAGTCGATCCACTATGCCAACATTGCCCTGCAGATGGTGAAGGCCGTGGAAGGCGGCGCGCGAAGGAAAGGGGTAGGCGAATGGCAGCGCTCGAACGTGCACACCTCATAACCCGTTCTTGGCTTTGCGTGCGTGCTGCGTCTATCGTCTGTGGGCGGCCGCTGCGGCAGGGACGTCTTGCTTCCGGGATTGCGAATCGCCCCGCAGAACACGGGTCCATGTTTCATGTGCTCTTTTCTTGTTTTGGGAGTTCGGAGGGGTGGGCCCAGACGGGCACGGTGACCGCGGCGCAGCCCCGTCATGCTCTGGCTCTCTACTGGCCTCGGCCCTCTCTCGCACACTCCAATTCAATTTTGGTTGGTAAATTTCGAATGCAACTCCTGGGAGGTCAAATTCTGATTTTGCCCTGGTCCGAAATCCGGCTTAATCTGGCTTGATCCCGCTTAATCCCGCCTCATCCTGCTTAATCCGGCTTGATCCCGCTCAATCCGAGGCCCACTCCAGCGTAACAGCTCCCAAATGTGGCTTCATCCTCCTTTGATCTTTCCGACGACAACCTCCCAGTAGTTGCCTCCTTATGTTGGCACCTCGCACGTGCTGGTCGTGAAAGTGTGAAGGAAACATCGCTGGAGGTGTAGCCCTTGCTTTGAAGGCAGGCTGCGGGGGGCAGCGACGAGCCAGCAGGTTGAAGAACGCGCGCGCAGATACAGCCTGATTGGTGAAATTAGCGGGGTTTCTCAAAGACTAGTTCGGTGTGTGCGCACTGCTATTCGCATCCAAGCTGAACGGTTTGCTCTTACAGGGGTTTGCTCTCTTTTGTCAGGGCAACCACAGTTCTTATACCGGTGAGCCTGGAAGTATCAGAGGCCGGAGCCCCATGTAGGAGTCGTTGTGTGCGTAATGTGCTGTCGTGTCGTTGCCTTCACTGCCAGCCTCTGTCTCCATCGTGCAGGAGTTTCCGTCAAGGCCCCCTCATGCACAAACGCCTGGCGCTCTCTACACCGACCACCATGAATCAGGAGGGGAAAAAACACACAGACACAATTATTCGTCGATTCCCCAGAAAATATGGGAAATATGGGAAGTGGGGGGGAAGACAAAAATCCAGAAAATATGGGAAACTATGGGGAATCATTTTATTTGTGTGTATTTATTTGTGTGTCCCAGGGCCCCTTCAATGAAGACAGACTTGTCTGACGCCATCTGCTCCGCGGCCGGACGCCTCCGCGCGACCACGGCAGGTTCGCACTGGTCGAGGGGGCCGCGACCTTTCCGCGAACGGTCAGGGTTGCATCTCCTCCTCCTCCTCCTCCTCCTCCTCCTCCTCCTCCTCCTCCTCCTCCTCCTACGGTTGCATGCCGCCAGGGGCCCAGAGTCGGCCCATATGGAGCGATTTGAACTCCGAGAATCAGCCGATCGCTCAAGGTTGCCAAGGTTGAGATATGGACGCGGCGTCATGAGCCAACACCGGAGTCGCCACGACACGAACTTGCCGTACCAGGAGGAAGCTGGATGCGCACGGCCTGAGCGCGGGCTGAGATACACGTGTGGCTGCATGCTGTTGTCTGCGCTCGGCCATTGCGCGGCCAAGCACGCCGTGCCCTTCGCTGTGTGTGTGTGTGTGTGTGTGTCCACTGTGTGGTCTCCGCGCGGTCCGGATGTGATCCCACCTCTGTGTATTTGCAGTTTTGCGCCCGAGGATTACAGAACGGCGAGGCTCCGATTTCGCTACCCCGTTGCCTTGATTTCGTCGTTTGGGGCCTTCCTGGGAGGCTCTTGTCCACACCGCTGGATTTGCTTCGAAATGCTGGTCAGCATGCACCCCAGGAGAGGTCGGGGGAGCATCGGAGGTTGACAGACCTCCTACCCTGACACGTGGATTAGATAATTGGCCGTTTTCGGTTCGCGAGAGGGCGTCGCGGCCGTCAGTTTTGCGGGTCCAGGTCTGTCGGTTTCGGTGCTAGGCCTTTTTTTATTAAAGGGTGTTTTACTAAAAAGTTGTGGAAGTCGATGAACGGAGAGGAAGCATGCTGCCAAATAATTTCCAGATGTTTAGAAGATGTTGCAAACATGTTTTTGATATGTAAAAAACATGTTTGAAACATGTTCCGAACATGCTTTACACATTTTAAACACATCGTGAATTCGATGATAGGACTGTCAGAGTGTCCATTGCCGTGGCATCCACAACACTAGAGGGTGGTTTACTGAAGGAAGGTTTGTCCACCGTCGGGATCAGCGGTATCGGCACCCTTTGGTCGAAAACTTGCATATGTACATTACCAGCGGCGGGCTGTTTTTCAATCCCAGGACTTTTTCGAGGGTCGGGGACGACGTCGGGGTGGTATAGTGTATACCTTTGTATCCGCTCCCCAGGGAAACACCGAAACATGTATACACCAGGATCCGTTTTTCTTTGGGGAACGAAGAATGACATAAACATAAAAACTGGGAGGTCCGCGCGGATTTCTCGGATCGGCGTTGGACCCCCCTCCCTGGCGCGCGGAGCGCGGCAGGGGCGGCGCCGGAGGCGCCGCCTAGGGGGTTCCAGCGCGGATCCGAGAAATCCGCGCGGACCTCCGAGTTTTCATGTTTATGTAATTTTTCGTTCCCCTATATACACCAGGATCTGCTTTTCTGCGCGAGTTTCGGTGCCGGGCCAGAGAAATCGTCGGTGTATAGAGGTCGGCTCCTTATCTGTTTGCCCCAGGCCGGAGCCCGAGGCCGCCCTGCAGCACTGCAGACGGGTGTCCCCTTCGTGGTCCGAGCCCGCCGCCTGCTCTGGCGCTCCCTCGCAGCGCCCCCCCCGTTCTGCCCCCCCCTGTCTGCTCGTCTCCCAGTCCTAGATTTGTGGAGGACGATCAATGGAGAGGAAACATGCTGCCCAACAATGTCCAGATGTCTAGAACATGTGCCAAAGCTGTTTAAGACATATAAGAGAAAAAGGTTTTAGACATGTTCTGGACATGTTTCTTACAGTTTAAATCCACTTCTCATTCGATGATAGGACTGTTAGGGTGTCCATTGTCGTGGCATCCTAGATTCGGGGGTGGACATACCTCCTACCCTGACACGTGGATCAGCGAATTGGCTGTTTTCGGTTCGCGAGAGGGCGTCGCGGCCGTCATTTTTGCGGGTCCAGATCCGTCGGTTTCGGTCCTAGGCCGTTTTCTCTGAGGGGAGGTTTACTCAAGGGAGGTTTGTCCACCTCCGATCGATGGATGAGCTTGTTTTCCACCACCACCACCAGAAGTTGGAGGGGGGAGAGGGGAGGAGGACGAGGAGGAGGAGGAGGAGGACCCTCTCCCCCTCCAACTTATGGTGGTGGTAGTAGAAAACAGGACCTTTTAGATGGGGTCCGAGTAGATGGTGTCGGAGGATCGCCGACGTCGCCGATGCATCGCCGATGCATCGACGATACATCGGCGATGTGTTTGCAATGCGGCGCGATCCTTCGACCCCATCTAGGAGGCCTCTGTTGTCTAAAGTTCGCCTCGCAGCGCCCTCGCAGAGGCTCCGACCGCAGTGCGCATCCGCCAGCGTTGCGACGTTGAGCGTGCTTTGCAGCTGTGCAGATGCTGGTCGGCGCCGTTACCACATGGCAACGCACCCCGAGGGTCGCCCCCCCCCCCCCCCCCCCTCCTCCTCCTCCTCCTCCTCCTCCTCCTCCTCCTCCTCCTCCTCCTCTCCTCCTCCTCCTCCTCCTCCTCCTCCTCCTCCTCCTCCTCCTCCTCCTCCTCATGTCAGGTTTGCGTGGTAATTCATGACTGTCATCGTGCGGTACATGTGTCTGCAGCTGTTCTGATTTGGCTGGCTCGACTGGGATGGGGCTCTGGCAATATGTGCCCGCCGCCCCGACCTCTCGCGCCAGAGCGTGCTCCCTTGCCTGGGGGCCCTCCCAGGGGTCTACGTCGACAAGGTGAGCAGCGCTGGTCAGAGGAACAGGCGTTTGCTCCGCCTGTCGGACACTGGCGCTGAGTTGCAGTGGGCGAAGGCAACGGGGGGGGCTTGTAGAACAGGAGGACGAGCGCGGCGATCCGCAGCTGATGTTGAAGTTCCTACTGTTAGTTTTGACAACCGCCCGAGATTCTTCGGCGCACATGCACTAGTGGCCAATGACATCAGCTTGCGGCTAGGTTGTGACGTCCCCGCGGTCCCCACTAAGTACCCGACTACGTATCATCTAAGCGTGCGCTGGATGACGTTATCTTGAGGACGATCTGCTTCACGTCGGAATTGTAAAACCACGTACCATAATTTTGGTATGGTACCATGTTTGAACATTCCCCCTGTAGAGGGACAGCCCCGACTTCAGCCCAGGATTGGGAACTGGGTTCCTGGGGATCCAACAAGGGGCCTGAGGACACTCTCACTCGTGTCTTCAGGGCACGGTGGCGGATCGAAGACCCCTACAGCGAATCACCGCTGCCCCCCCGCTGCCTCTTGGAATCGCCCATGTGGCCGAGCGTCGTGGCAAGAGCTCTGCCAAACTATCGGGCCATGTGTTCCCCCAGCCGTTGTAGAAACCCTTCGGGGAACACTTGGGAGAGGATTGCGGGGAAGATCAGCAGGAGGAGGAGGAGGAGGAGGAGGAGGAGGAGGAGGAGGAGGAGGAGGAGGAGGAGGAGGAAGGGGGATCTTGGGAGCCTCTGGGGGCACTTTTGGGGCCTCCTGGGAGTTTCTTTGGAGCCTTCTGGGGTCATCTTGGCGGCCTTCTTGGGCCTGTTCGGGGCCTTTGGTGTCCTCTCGGGGGCCTCTTTGGCCGTCGTAGGGCATTCCTGGCCCGTCTGACGCCCTCGGACGCCGTCTCGGGGGCCTCTCTGGGCCGACTTGCCCTCTTGGGGTGCTCAAGGGCCGTCTTGGATGCCATCTTTGGCGTTTTGGAGGCCTCGTTGGCCGTCTTTGGGCCCTCTTGGGGCAGTCTCGGGGACCTCTTGGGCTGTTCTGGGGCCCTCTTGGAGGCCCCTTGGGCGATCTTGGGGCGACCTTTGGAGGCTCTTGAGCCGTCTCGGACCGTCGGGAGGCCGAACAAAAGCACATCCTTTTTCGCCACGTCGGGCCCTCCAGGCCTTGCTGGAGGCCCTCTTTGGGCACTGTTTGGGCACTCTTCGGGCAAAGGATCAATGTTGTTCGCCACTTCGGGCCTTCCAGGAGGTCCCCTTTGGGGCCTCTTGGGCCGTCTTGGAGAGCTCTTGGGGTCGTCTTGGGCGATCCTCGAGCCATCTTGGGCCGTCTTGGAAGCCATAACTGACCCGTCGGACGCTGCCGGAAGCCGTCTTAGGGGGGCCTCTCTGGGCCGGCTTGGGGCTCTCTTGGGGTGCTCCAGGGTCGTCTTGGAGGCCATCTTATTCGTCTTGGAGGCCTCGTGGGCCGTCTTGGGGCCCTCTTGGGACCGTCTTGGGGGCCTCTTGGACCATTGTGGGGACCTCTTGGAGCCCTCTTGGGCGATCTTGGGGCGACCTTTGGGGGCTCATGGGCCGTCTCGAGCCGTCGGATGGCCGAACAGAAACAAATGCCAACATCCTTCAAACACGTAAGGAACATCTATGATTTGGGCCACTTCGGGCCTTCTGGAGGACCTCTTGGAGGCCTCGTCAGCCGTCTTGGAGACCTCCTGGGGATCTCTTGGGCTGTCTTGGGTCATCTTGTCACCTTCTTGGGCCTTCGTGGTGGCCTGCTGGCCCGTCTGACGCCCTCGGAAGCCGTCTCGGGGGGCCTCTCTGGGCCGGCTTGGGGCTGTCTTGGGGTGCTCCAGGGTCGTCTCGGAGGCCATCTTATTCGTCTTGGAGGCCTCGTGGGCCGTCTTGGGGCCCTCTTGGGACCGTCTTGGGCCGTTGTGGGGACCTCTTGGAGCCCTCTTGGGCGATCTTGGGGTGACCTTTGGGGGCTCATGGGCTGTCTCGAGCCGTCGGATGGCCGAACAGAAGCAGATGCTAACATCCTTCAAACATGTAAGGAACATCTATGATTTGGGCCACTTCGGGCCTTCCCGGAGGCCTTCTTTGGGGCCGTCTTGGAGACCTCTTGGGGCCGTCCTGGGCCATCCTCGAGCCTTCTTGGGCCATGTTGGAGACTTCTTGGGCGGTCTTGGAGGCATCTTGGACCTCTTGGGCCGTCTTGGAGGCCATAACTGACCATCTTGGGCGAACTTAGAGGCCATCTCGGGCCATCTGAGCCGTCTTGGAAGCAACATTGGACCATCTTGGGGCGGGAAAGGCATTAGCATATATATATATATATATATATATATATATATATATATATATGGTCCCGGGCTCCGGGCCCACGCCCCCCCCCTCCCCCCCAGATGGTATGGTCCCAGGATTCCTCGGGCCCCCCCCCCAGATGGTATGGTCCCAGAGACGACGACGACGACGACGACGACGACGACGACGACGACGACGACGACGACGACGACGACGACGACGACGACGACGGCGACGGCGACGACTACAACGACGGCGACGACGACGACGACCACGACGACGACGACGGCTGCGGCGGCGATGACGCCGGCGGCGGCGGCGGCGACGACGACGATGACGACGATGACGACGGCGACGACGACAATGATGACGACGACGACGACGACGAGGACGACGAGGACGACGACGACGACGACGACGACGACGACCTCTGAACCACCACAGCACCACACCACATCCACAGGGGGGGGGAGGGGGGCACCGCAGCGCAGCACCACGCCACGCCCACCTCTGAACCACCACAGCACCACACCACATCCACAGGGGGGGGGGGGGGCACCGCAGCGCAGCACCACGCCACGCCCACAGGGGGGGGCGGGGGGGACCATCGCGCGGGGGGGGGGGGCCCAATGGCATCAGCATTGGGGGAGGGGGGGGGCAAGCCCTGGACCATCTACAAGTGGCACGTGTGTGCCCAGGCTCATACAAAAAACTGAAGGGGCGTTTGAAGCAGGAGTGAAATGCAACATCGAAGTCGCACTCGAGCGCAAGTGGGGTTGCCACACCTTGCGATGTGTGTACCAGGACCCCCCAGGAAGCCTCAGGAGGCCCGACTTGGATACCAGAAGAGGCTCCAGGAGGCCCCAGGATTGTGAGTGTTGTGCGTGTGTGTGTGTGTGATGTATGCTTTGTGTGGTGCGTGCTTTTTGTGTGTTGTAGGTGTTGTGTGTGTGTGTGTATGTTTGTCTAGCGTGTGATGTGTTGGGCGTGATTTGTGTCTCTGTGTGCATGTAGTTCTGAAGCCCCAGGAGGCCCCAGGAAGCCCCAGGCGGCCTCAGGAGGCCCCAGGAGACCCCAGGAGGCTTCAGGAGACCCCAAGAGGCTCCAGGAGGCCCCAGGAGGCCCCAGGAGGCCCCAGGCCGCAGGAGGCCCCAGGAGGCCTCAGGAGACCCCCAGGAGGCTCCGAGGCGGGGTCTGGGGTGCCAGAAGGTTCAGAAAGCTCCAGGAGGCCCCAGGAGGTTCCAGGAGGCCCCCAGGAGGCCCCGAGGCGGGGTCCGGGGCTCGATTTTGGAAGGATTTTTCAAGCGAAACCGCCATTCCCTGAGAATCGGGGTCACAATTATTGAAATTACCATGTGTTTTTGAAGGTGTTATGTTAAAATGTTGAAATTCCCATGTGTTTTTGGACCCTGACGTCACGATCTGCGTGAGGGGTGCCACCGATTTTCAGAATTTCGAGGATGTCCCGAGCGAAACGCCCAGAAAAATCGCGGACGCGTGCGCATTAATCGCCTCTGAGCTCTACTCCCTCGGAGAGGTGCGTATGATAATTTATTTATATATATATATATATATATATATATAAGTTGGGGTCCTTTCCGGGTGGTTGGCGGGACGGGCCGAAGCCCCAGAGGGAATTGTTTTGGTAAATGAACCAGGACCAAAGGCCGTAGGATCTACCACGCCAGACACCCTTATGACAAGCACCGGGGGCGGCGAATAGAATGGCTTTCGACCCATCCCGCCATCGTGCATGCGTGGATGCCTGTGCAGCTCTCTTGCGAGACCTTTCGGAGGCCTCTTGGAAGCGGGGCTTGGAGTATTTTTTGTCGGTCTCGGGGGCCTCTTTGGGACCTCATGGGGCATGATTTGGGCCTCTTGGGCGCCTCCTGGAGGCTTTTGGGGGGCACCTCGGAGGCATTTGGGGAGATAGTGGGCGCCTCCTGGGCCGTCTTTGATGCTCTGAGGAAAAGGAAGGCGGTAATGCCAAAACCATGCAACAACAATTTGGTTTTGACGATTTGGGCTTCTGGCGCCGCCCTCTAGTGCATAACAGACGGCCCGGGAAACCTCCCATGAAGGCTCCATGACGATCTTCGGGGCCATCTTTGGCAACGTTGGACGTGCATGTCCCGACCAACTCGCTCTTGATCTCTGGAACAGGCACGCGGGGAACTTCCCGGTGGCGCCGAGGAGCGCCCCGAACTCCGGGCTGCGGGCCCTTGTGAGAACATTATCATTATCCAACACAGAGGACACGCATGGACTTGAGAACATACCAACTTGTGCCTGAGGGTACGGTGGCGGATATCGGTGCATGTATTTGCGCACACTGCCATACACCGGTTCATGGTTATGCGTGTACGTATCTAATACATATATATATATATATATTCAAATTAAAAAATAAAAATGTACATACGTATGATTAATAGTATTGTGCTTTCCTCTCGTTCCGATTGCGCGCCCGTCAGACACAGTCAATGCTTGCCTGTGGCCGCTGTCTGCTCAAGCCTTCATGGATTGCGCAGGTCGGCGGGATTCTCCGAGAGCTCTCCCACCTTTCCCTGCACATCAGCTCGGCCGTGGGATCGTGCCCGCCTTGTCCGTCGCTGCGCTGTCCTGACGTGGTTTGCGGCTTCTTGACGTGTGGCACGGGGTCGCCCACCGAGGTGCCGACTTGCCCGCGGGCGCAGACGGGCGGACCGCCTGGCCCGGAGGCTGGAGGAGCAGGCGCCCCAGGGAGGCGCTGAGGTGGCGCGGGCTGCGTTGAAGGCTCCCAGGAGCA